AGGATAGGATTTACATATTTATCCTGGGGGAGAGGAAAACCGATAAGACGGCTTAACCATATGGCGAACCACGACCTCTCGTCCCGTTACCATTCCATGTTGAGTATGGGATTAGTTAGTTATTTTCGGAAGCATGGACTTGATGGTGAAGGAAACCCACCCTACGGCGACAAGGAGTCCAGCAATCCTCTCGCACATAACCATCCCTGCATGAGATTCGAACCTGCGAACCCACGCACAGTAATCAGAAGTGCGGTGGCGAAAGTGGGTTCACAGTTTTGATACCCGTGGGGGCTAATTATGTGCGAGAGTATTGCTGGACTCCTCGCCGCAATATGGTGGTTCACGTCGGTTACGGTTTCCACCAACATGAAGACCATGCATATGAAACAAAGACCTCCTGAAGTATACGCACCAAGATGGTGCACAACCAGAACTCAGGTTGTGTACCAGGTTAGGGTTCAGGTTGTGCGACATCTTGGTGTGCATACTTCAAGAGTACCGAAACAAATAGCTGGCAAAATAATCCCATACCCGACATATATATTTGTCATATGCTTAAGCCGTCTTATCGGTTTTCCTCTCCCCTGGATTAATATGTAGCCAAATCCTATTCTATCCTGATTTAAACAAATTTTTATTCCATCCCCTGGCATACAGCCCTATGATTTTACAGGTCGAAATACCCCTTCCCCCCCCCTCCCTTTTTGAAATCATTTTTCTGTATCATAAATAGCAATTTTTCGTAGCTTGAAATGCTTTTTAGACCCCCCCTAAGACTAACAAAAACACGAGTATTCCAGCGTTCGATCGGACCCGCTAGCAGTTTCGATCTAACTTGGCAAAAAAATTCAAAACCCCAACCCCAAAGATATTTCTACACATAATTTTTGCCTACTGTAAATACACTGAAACTTCTGGGGAGACAAAGTGATCATTGGCTTATTTTATTTATATTTAAATTTCCGAAAAACAACTGAAAACTAACGAATATAATTCAAAAACGACAAAATGAGTTAATTTTCACGACCACGCCTGAAAATCTGTCTGAGTGAGAAATGTGTCAGAGCGGATGCAAAAGGGGGCATTGTTACGTTTATTTTTGCATCTTACTGAATGGCCAATGTCACGAAGTAAACAAGGAAGTCTATGCCCGGGGAAACATCCAAACGGCGGTTTTGGCGATGAATTAATTTTATTTACAATCTACGCTCGAGGAGTAAATTACATTTTTTTATGTAACAGAATTTATCGTGAGGCACGTTTAGACAAAATTTCATTATATCCTTAAAATTTTATTAAACAGCTTCTCGTTTAACGAGCCTACAATTCAATTATAATTAGATAATAGGAAACACGCAGAAAAGTTGATGCTGAGTGCAGGGGTTCAATAGCGCAGTAAATATAAGAGTATATTGCAATGCAATAAGGAAATAAAATTCATATTCTATTTGAGGGATTCATCACTGCTTAATTTTTGTAAGAGTGTATCTTCTTCAAGAAAATCTTTATCAAAATTTGACAAACCATGCGATAACATTCATTTCGATGTTTGGAAGTACATATGTGTGCGAACAATTATTTTCGAAATCGAACATTACAAAGAACAAGCTAGAACTAGGATTAGTGATGCCCATTTAAAAAATCTTCCAATCTTGGCGTCGTAAAGCTATCAAGCGTGATGCAGCAACAAGACAGTGTCACATTAAATGTCATTGTAATAATTTTTTAATAAGACGACTGAGTTGAGTTCACGAATTGTCGCAGTTTTTGCCCGATGTTCCGTTTTTAACTTCAAAAAATATTGGCGACCCGCAAAAGATTAGCAACCCTAAATGTAAAATGGGGTGAATTTAGGTTAAATGCTATAAGGCTAGAGTACACGGCGGTTTTTTGAGGAGGTAGAACCCTAGATTCTTTGATTTCCGACCGCTAATATGATGAGGGGACGACGATGGACTTGTATAAACTACTGTAGGGGGGCGACGATACAAAAAGTATGGGAACCACTGGTATAGACAACGAAATGAATCTTCAGTTATATTCAAGTGTTTTCAAAAGATCCGGAACGTCGCGCAATGTGGATATCATCTATTGGCAGGACTGCTTGGTGTCAAGTCCAGAAGTCATCTCACTTGTGTTTCACTGTTTGCGGAAAGCACTTCGTTGATGGTGAGTGATAATGTGCTGTTATCAATTTCTTTAAATATTCATAAACTCCCTCACTCCAATGGAAAGCAGATGACAAACTACTGTTATTGGTAGGCCTAGGCGTAGACTTGCCTTGTGTGAGGAATTAATCATCAATTGCCATAAGGCAGTGTTTCCCAACCCTGAGCGTTTGAATGAGTCCGCATCGACCCAAAAATTCAGTCAAGTTGCGATTTACGCTAGAATTTACATGAAACATAAAAAGCAAGTTTAGTTACATAACATCAATCGAGTCAATAATTACTGGTTACTGAGTATATCTGGGGCATATATTCGAATATTCAACTATTAGAATAGCAATTTACTATTCGAAAATTTGGTAACTGGTGACGCGATAGGTCACTTGCGCTCAATCTGACGATTGGATTTTACGGTGACCGTGCATTTGAACCCACGTACATTTGAACCCATGTGTATATCCGCGGGTTAAATCTATATGCGAGTTCTAAAACCAATGGGTTCAAATATCCGTAAAACAAAAACAAAATTTCCATAGGTGCAATAGTATGCAGGTGCATATGTCGTGGGTTCAAATGTACGTGGGTTTAAATGTAATGGAACCGGATTTCACAACTCACTTGCGGATTTCCGACGAAAACATGAATCTGCCCACGCTTCGATATATACCTAAGTGGTGTTTCTTGCGAGTTCTCACAACGAGGAATATTTTTTTTTCTGGTTGGTGTCAATGGTGGCAACCCAAATTTTCTAAATAGAAAAGCGGCAATACAAAATACCAAAAATAAAACGAAGCACCATAATTTTTGTTTTATGATGGTCCGCGTCCGATTAAAAACGCTGTTTAGACATTGCAAATCGCGAAATTTTGGATGCTACCGTACCAGGGCATTTTCCCTTAGGATTCTTTGCTTTACTGCCTCTACACTGCTACGTACAGTACTGCCGTATGTGTTGTACGAACAGCTCAGATTTGACGAATTCACAAAAATACGAATCAAAACAAAATATAATCGGGCACTTTACCACGCATTTTAGTGTTCACGGATTGTCATCATATTTTCTGAGTAGTATTGCTTTTATTTCGTCAACACAACCGCAGATTAAATGACCACAATAAAATTAATAATAATAAACCATGGCGATGAACATGTATTTTTGATTTACTAATATACTTCAAATATATTTTTAAGAAGTACTAAATCAAGTTGTACTTTCTAAAAATTTATAGCAGATAGTAGGATTTTTCTAACGGCGATAACGAATTCGCAAGATCGCAAGAAATATGCATCAAAACTAAGTATAATCGGACAATATATTCTCACATTATTAGGTTCACAGATTGCAATTGTATTTTAGAGAAGTAATGCTTTCATCTTGTCGTAATTTGACGCAACCGCGAATTATCATGAACACAATTAAGTTAAAATAGGAATTCATCTTAAATTCTCGTCGTTGTCATGGATTGAATATTGTGCGACAGAAAAGGTCATTGTTGAAATTCGTTAAAATTTTGTTGTGTTCGGTTTCAATGCCTGTTCACACATAGTATACGGTTGCAATAAACGCACATTGAGTCGGCAAAGGGTTTTGCCGGTGAGAAAATAGTCCGCGACTAAAAAAGGATGGGAAACACTGCCATAAGTTATTGTTTCCCTAGTTAGCAGGTAATCTATTAGTAAGTGTGAATAGTTGAATAAAAAACTAAAGTTTAACGGCAGTGCTTATGCAAAATTACCCAGAATTCAATTGAATTCGCCATCTAGGAATACGCTCGCAACCGCATCTTTGATCACCCTGGTAATTTTCACAGGTTCCAATCCCATGCGGGGATGGTTATGTGCAAGGAGGATTGCAGCTCTCCTCCCAATGAGGGTGGTTCACACGACCGCTGGTCGATTACGACATCCCTCACCATCAAGTCCATGCTTCTGAAAACAAATAACTGGCTAACTAATCCCGACATAGAATGGTAATCGTACGATGTTGCACCTTGCAATTCTCCCCCTGATTGTCTGATTGTTTCGTTAATTAGCAAGTAAACTATTACTGATCTGATACACTAACTCGACACTGTCAAATGATGATTAGTGTTTAATTTCTTTTTCAAGAAAAATTATCAGCTGCTTATGTCCCATCAATATTTGAATTTTTGCCATCTCCAGAGAGAAAAAGAATAGTTAGAAAAAGGGGGATTTTAAAGAAAGGAAAAGGGCAGGACCATTTCAACAAATTTGTTATCTAGTATGCGTTGCAATATCACTTTGCAGTTGTTAGCATAAACATTTAATGTGTCTTTCGACTAGATCTACCACACTTTGAAAGAAGCCGCCTATACCCATTTTCACTAGAACCATAACACTGTAAAATATTTGATAGTAATTACCCCTAAGGCATCATATCTTCCATTTGAAAGGAATTCCACTATCGTACAGCCAACGGAACACTACGAAATAACCATTTTCAACAGCCAAACAAAACGAAACGTATAATCCGACTTGCAACTGACAGGAGCCAAATTGACGTTTTTGTTTTTTTGCCGTCCAGTAAATAAAGTCACGTGACCCGTACAAGTCCTCTCTATTCAAGTCCATGCATATTGAACGAATAACTGATTAATTAAACCCATATCCGACATGGACTGATGACTGGACGAGGGGCCGTGGTTCGCTCTATGATTGAGCCGTTTTACCGGCTCTTCCTTACCCCGGGATAAATATGAAAAATTTCTGAATATGAAACATACACTATTCCGGGTAGCGGGCGGAGTTATTTGGGTCACGGTTAAATGAATTTTGAAAAACACCTAGCGCCCACATGTGGCCAATTTTAATTTCGTTCCCTGGCGAGCTTTTCTTTCTTCGTTCTTCTGTGTTAGTGACTTTGTGTTTTCTTACCAGTTTTTGAAGTAAAATATTGAAGAAATAATCCCAGAAGACATTTACGCGAAATAACAAGCTGCGGGAGGGTGGTGAGTTTATAATTTATTTTTGTTGTGTAGAAATGATCTACGGCTGTAAAAGTAGGTACCGGTACCGTATTGTTGTACCTGCACGGTCAGACGGTACTGGTACCGGTACGTCTGACTATATTCAGCCATTATTACGGTACCAAGAAATAAGTGTTAGGGTTGGTGGATAATCGAGATTTCAATGTATTTTACAAGTTTAGATTAGGATAACTCACTACTGCACTAGTCAGTTAGTTTACTCTGAATTCAGAAATTTTGTTTGTGATTGTCTGCTTTAATACGGTACCGGTACTTTTTAAGGATTCGAGAAGAATGCTTGATTAATTAGAAATAAATTATTTTGAGATTTATGAACCGGTACCGGTACTACAGTTACATACGATACGGCAATAAACCAAACGGTAATACTGTATTACACTGTACAGCAGTACAGCAATAAAATAGTATTCATGTCTGCAGGTATTGAAACCCAAAAACCAGAATCGACATTTTTTTGATTTGTCAGAATTTCAAGGTTCCGGACTTGAAATGATGATCTGACAGAAACTTGACCGAGCATTCTCAACAGAAGATTTATATATTCATACAATTCCATAATAAAACATGTTTAATTTTGACTTTCCCTAATTTAAACTCAGAATTTTTCTTAAACTTCGAATCTATAATCAAAAAAGTCCGAAATTTTTTTAATCCGGGTTCTGTAGTCTGAGGCATATTTGAAATGGCTCAGAATCTGACTCATATTTTCTCCAACTCCACCGCCAAGTTTGAGAATGGATCTAAAAATACAAAAGCCCAAAAATTTATAATGTTCGCGTATCTTTTGTTTGTATGTTTCTTGTTTTAGCCACGTTTAACCAGCTTTATGTTTTCTGTAATTTTTTCTTGTATTTGTACTGGTGGGCGGGCACATTGTATTTCTCATGTTTTAAACCCTTTTTGAAAGTTTTGCTCGCTCACCGAAATTCCTCTGTTTTTAATTTGTGTGTATTATGGAGTTTTCAAAATAAACTATCTAAAATCTGTTGTTTAGTATCATACATGTAATGTATTTTTCAGAATATCGATGGCTTGCGGGGCGACTTTAAAAAAGAAGTTTGGACTTTGATCCTTTGCACACTGTGGTATCAACCTCCCCAAGTCATGCCCCAATTGTTGCAAGAACACCACCTAGCAAGCGTCGTCGATTATCTCCTCGTTGCGGATCAGTTTTCTCGAGCGCAGAATGTCGAATGTCATCAGGATCTCCTTCTCAGTCTTCGTCCTCTTTAAATCCATCTCCGTTTAAGCCAATGCACCCAATTTCGTCAGGTAATATATGACATGTATATTATATTTTAGTAAGTTTGATACAATTACTCTGTACAGCGAGTCGTCTACTTACGACTTTTGTTCCGTTCTTGAGTCGCAGTGTAACCCGAATTTCAGTGTAAGTCGGAACATTATACTGTACAGTACATAAATTACTCTATACATATCGTACTGTATTGTAAAGTATGGTACACTAATAAAATGTACAAATAATGCAAAAAGTACGATGTAAATGACGAAAACCAATGAGCCCAAAGCACTGATTTTCTTGATCATAATGATCCAGTTGAAGGGCTTTGATATTACAGTACAGTATTATCCTTTATATTTTTATGGAGTGCATTCGTAACCTCGAAACAGCTTAATGGAGTGCGCGTTCATAACCTCGAAACAGCGTGAGTCGCGATCGTCGTAACCCGAGGACTCCCTGTATTTTGATAACGAACGACACCTACTCGGGCTGGGGAATTTGAATGGAATAGAAAATTATTTGAATTGGTGTAGACAAAAATTGATAAAACATGTTTGTTATTGCGTGTGAACACTCAGCAGACTGACTCAGCGACGAATTCTATGTTTTCTATGTGTCTAGAGCGGGGACGCACAACTCAAATAAGAATGTGTGCCATAGTTTTCGAAATAATCTTGTGTGTCATTCCAAGTTCGAATAATTGTTGGTATTGTAAACAAACTTTGATAAAACACATATTAATAATAAAAGGACTATCAACTCGAACTATTAATATCCTATTGGCGTTATTGAAGGCAATGTATTAAGTTTATTTCAATATAAGTTATAGTTAGTTTCTTTATTATAAATAACATATTACTCTTTACCAAACCGATCATGTGCCACATTCAAAATCATGCCATGCCACATTGGGCACACATGCCCTGCGTTGTGCACCCCTAGTCTGGAGGACCCATTGCATTAATAAAGTCACTTTGTTCCTACACCGTTTGTATTAATTTATTTATTTTCCAATTATTTGACATCTGATTTGATTCTGAAATCATCAGGTATATGAAAATGCCCAGCCCTAGTAACAACTTGGGTTCGCAATGCTGAAGCAGAAAGATCCCTATCCTTCCTAGATGTAATGGCTCCTCTCTATTATGGAATAAAAAACTAATTCAAGAATTGTAATATCGCTTTATGATTGAGATGTCTTGTTGCTTCTCATCAAAGATTAGAAAAGGAATTGAAATTGGGGTTGGAAAAAACCGAGTATTTCACTATATACATTCTAAGAAAATTTCTCGAATGTGGAACATCAAATACGTTTTTAATTGGGGTCATGTTTTTTTGAAAAATTACATAACTGTGTTGTCGTTTTTTTACCAGTTTTACCAGTTCATCGTTTTGATCTGCCTGTCGGGCAGCTTAGAATCCCCAATTTTTAAATTGAAATGTTTTAAATTATTCCTAAATTCAAAATTTATGATATTGAATATAATAAATTTAAAATGTATTAGAAGATTTTAATTCGTATTGGAAATAGTAAACATTCAGTTTTGTCCATTCAGTTTTTCAATTTTGGATGAGGAGAGACTGAACATGTTCAATTCGTTAACATCCCAAGTTGAAATACAATTGAACAAAATGATACCTCATTCCTTTTTGGTATTAATATAATTTGTCTCAAAATTCTAAGCAGATATATTAGATATCACATTAAAATTTTACATTCAATTTTCAGAGGCGATTTTGAAGAATATATTTGATGAATACAAAAGAATGAAAAGGCGTCGGCAACTACAATTGACACCGGATACTCCATCAGCCTCTGATACTGAAACTCAGAACTTGCAGAATTTCACTCTGGCCAATGCATCTGGTGAGTAGTAAAAAAGCAAGGTACTCCTGTAGTATGTGAACCAAGATGGCGGACACCGGTTTGTAGTATGTGTCCCAGGTTAGGGTTAGGCTATAATTTCAGGTACAAATATTACAGGAGTCACTTGACCAGTCCCCGAACAGTCATATAACATATTAAAAAAATTTTAAACCTAACCAAATATTATAAAAATTTGGTGTAAAATATCAGGCTTTTTGAACTCTATTTTCGAAAATTTGAAACTAATGGCTTCCTAGCGATGTCTCCCATCTTGTTAAAAGTACTGTATATTTAAAATAAATTGATTCATTAGCCTAGAAAAGCAACAACATGGATATATAACAATAACAATTTAGAAAAACAATTCTTACCATGTTTACCCCAAAATAAGACAGTAATCAAATTTCTTTCGAAAAGTAACACTAAGGCTTATTTTTGGGGAATGTCCTATATTTTTCATTTATCGAAAACAAAATTACAATGAGTTTCTTGCGATTGACGGTATCGAATATGTCTTATTTTAAGGGGAGGACTCATATTGAAATCATTTTTAAAATTTATGCTAGGTCTTATTTTGGGGGAAACACCGTAGGTCCATCTTATCTCCAAAATTGAGTTTTTTGAACGCATTGTATTTAAAATCTTTGAAAATTACTATCTGATGTCGCAGGGATAGCAAATACCAAATATTTCATTATTGCGAATACTGAAAAAATATTTTTGAATATGGAATTTTGAATAAATTCTGAATTGGGGGTAATTTCATGTGGAAAATTACATAAATCTATATTATCTTCATGTTGATCATGTCTAAAATGACATTAATTTCATACAAAAATTCATTGTTTTTCGGTGTTTTTGTTATCAGTTAAGTTATCAAACGTTTTGATCTGCTTGTCTGAGGGCTCAAAATCTCTAAGTTTTAAATAATAATATTCTAAATTCAAAAACATTTTTTATTATATAACAATGAAATTTGAGTGTATTCGAATATTCAATTCGTCTTGGATGTCTCTGTGTAATTAATGTGTTTATTTAAAAACTATCATATTGTCGTCACTCTTGAGATGGCCTTTTAGTTATTCTTAACATTACTATAGGTTTTGTAAGCACAAATTTCACGCAAAATTGGCTCTGCTTGTTATTTTATGAATCTATATTTTTTTTTTGAGAATAAAGAGTCTCTTTGTGTTAGTGTGCAGCAAGACTCTTGAATCACTTAGAATAGTTATCTTTAATAATTTATCTTGCTACAGCATCTTTGCATTATTTGTATACAAATCCAGAAGGATAGCCTAAGTAGTTAGTCTCGCAGAAACCAAATCATTAGCGATATATATTTTATTTTCTATTTTTGCATCATATTATGGCTTATGAGGCCTTATTAGTATAGGCAATTTGTAGTTTGTTGACTTAATTTCAAAGTCCAGCTTCTTGTTGTTTGGTTTCAGCTTTTAATTGACGCTCACATAAACAACAATATTTAGATTTTTTCATCATTTTTTTATTCAGCGATGTTTCTTTACTATTTTTACCTTTCACACTGTTTTCCGGTGCTTATTAGTGTCGACTGTTTGATACAAAGTATCAATTAATACTTCACGGTGGTGTTTTTATTTATTTTGATGTTTAAAAGTAACGTTAGAATTATTTGAATATTCAAATTTTGTGGACTCCATTAGCTAGCATCAACATCCTGTTTTTATAAAGCACATCTTGCAGCGGAAATTCTTCTCGTATACACTATAATGGTTTATAGCAGGGCGTAGGCAAGGTTTTTGGACCAGGTGTCAAAAATTTCATCCACCTAGACTGGAAGCCATGGTGTTTAATGTTACATATTATGAAAAATATTTACCGTGTTACAAGAGCAATAAGCTTGTGCCAAAACTAAATTTAATTGAAACCTCACCAAATTCCTTTTTAAAGAAAACATCAAAATTTAGTTTTAGTTTGGTTGTTGCAGTATTGAATTACCCAACAGGCCGGATTTGACCCACGTGGCGTAGTTAGCCCATGTCAGTTTGATAGTCTTGGAAGCTCTCTAGCACTTTAGTGGTCAGCCCATTACTTCGCTCTGACATCAAATTTCTTTATCTCTGAGTGAGCGTGCTATCTTTGCTTCAAGCAAATTTCCTCATAAAAAGAATAGCTGCTCCAATTTATGTCTTTTCAACAGGTAAACTAAATTTATTTAACTCGTTATGCCAACGGGAATAGGGTTAATATTCTAATCCAGAGGTTTTTGATCGGGTGATAGCTTCACCCTTTGGGGCTAAAGTCGAGATGGGGTTAAATTTTAAAGGTGAAAGAGTACAAAAACATGTGTATCGCAGCTTTTGATCAAATAAATAGGAGAAAATACGAAATTGATCAACAAATAAACACTTCGCATCCAATAACTAACCTTTCATGGGATCAGCAGTTGCATCAAATAAATTAAAATCTCTAACCCAGGAGTTGAATATTTTTCTGAAGTTAACTGTAGGCAAAAGTGACAATTGTCAGAATCAATTGAAACATTGCTTAGATTACGCAATTTATTTATTACGCAATCTTTTACTGAGAGACGTCTAGCCTAAAATAACTCTTCCATATGTCATGTATGGCACAATGATAGTGTGGCAACATTGCCCAGACCAATGAAATTGCACCCTTCCATCCCCAACCCCCCCAAAAGATTCCCAAGTAAGGACTTTTGTATCCATGATCTACGTAGCCTAATAATATCCTTTAGTTATCGATCGACAATCAATTTTGAAAATTTCTGTCTGTCCATTTCGAGATGCGTAGTGAGGGTTGTGTACTTAATTGGTTATTACTTATCGATTTTAATCGGTAAGTATGTTGATAGGTATTTGTCTGTATCTCTGTTTGTTTGTTAGATGCACGCGTTATCTCACGAAAGCGAGATTGAATATGCTCCAGATTTTGCATGTGCATTCATCTTATCTCGGAAGTCTTATCAGAAGCCTATTGATTTTGGGCGAATTATGTCGTATAATTAGCGAGTTATTAATTAATTAGTGATGGGACACAAGGTGTCACTATGGAGTAAGAGCGCTGTTTTGGGGGATCCCCTAACTTTCTATCGATAAGTCTTCGGTCTCTGACCAATATTCTCGTTTAGTCAATTGGTGTTGTTTAGAATAAGTATTATTCCTATAATCCTATAACTTCTGGATCAATTTCCTATAAATTTCTGGTGATCAAATATGGAAGTGGATCTCAGTAGGCTGGACTGATTCTAGGGAATTTCGTCGCATAGGAAAATACGCTGCATGAAATATCGCCACAAGATCATTTGCTGTAAAACAAGTATTTGTGATAAAAACAGTACCTTTCAATTTAAAAAAAAATCGATATTTATGAGCATACCCTAACCCTATAAACTTAACTGTTTTATCACAAATACTAGTTTTCCAGCAAAATGCTCTTGTGGCGATATTTCATGCAATGTATTTTCCTATGCGATGGAATTTCCTGTGTCAAATTTTTTGGACACAGGCTAAACTATTCGGTGACCGTACATTTGAACCCATGTACATTTGAACCCATGCGTATATCCACGGGTTCAATCTATATGCGGGTGCTAAAACCCATGGGTTAGGGTTAGTATGGGTTCAACTATCCGTGAAACAAAAAAAAATCCATAGGTGCAATAGCATACAGGTGCAATTGTCATGGGTTCAAATGTACGTGGGTTCAAATGTAATGGAACCATTAGTTGGTGATATGCGCAAATTGCATTCTGGATCTTGTACAGCTTGAATAGGTTATAATACTTGCCTAAAAATACCTTACGTCAGCGGTTCCGGACACAGGCTAAACTATTCTTTTCATTACTTTCTGCAATCTGCTGTTTCAACTAGTGAATGAATTGGTAACATTTACAGAGAGGTCAAGGAAACCCGCTAGAAGATTTTTATTATTCTGATTTCTGAATCATTCTCTCCATGTTGTTTTGCGTAAAAATTTTGTTTGTTTTGGCATCATGAGTGAATATGTTGAGCAAGTCTCCCAACTAATGAGTCCCAAGTCCTTGTATTGAAGCATTGCTGTTTGGTTCAAAATTTATTTATTCAATTTAATATTCATCATGAATGCTGTCATCGCAATTTTAGGAATGTCAAAATCTATATTCGATATATTAGAAGACACTGAGTGCGTCATTCTGCGGTAATATTTATCGCTAAATCATTGGAATGCATTATTTATCTTTATCTGCTTAGGATTCATTTATTGGTACTCCCATAGTGTGTGTACCAGGTTACGGTTAGGTCGAAATTTTATTCCGATTTTTCTTATTTTAGTTCTAATACGAGTTCAGGGACTGTCTGTGTTAGCCAAGTGAATATACCTTTTGCCCATAGGTTTCAGTCCCTTTACACAACTTGATGTAAAGTAGGCGAACAAAATTAGTTACCTTCATATTGGTACACACACTTCTGGAGCGCCGATTTTTCTGATTTTTGAAAAATTTTATTGTTACGAAAAATCATTTTCTATTGAGTTTCAGGAGGCTGTTGTTTTATCTCTAGTTTTGCTTGGTATGAAAATTATACAACAACATGCATTTTTCACTGATCAATTATAGTGAAATCAGAGATGGCCGAAACCGAATATTTCACTATTTGGAATACATTCTGTGAAAATATTTCCGAAAATGGAATCCCGATACTTTCTAAATTGGATTAAATTTCAAGTGACACTGATAAACAGTAAAAAAAAACTGGGAATAAATATGGATTTTTTACTGATTAATTATGGCGGAATTCTTTTGTAAATTCTTCCTGTGACACTGATCAACTATAAAAAATTGCTTGTGATAAACCATGTCTCTTACAGTATTTTCACTCCAAGCAAGGCTATAACGTTTGTAGGGCTGCTATTTTAAACCAGTTTCTGGTTCAGCATTGCCTAACCTAGGGCTACTCGACTATTTTACCAAAAGCACTTATGAAAAAAACTTTCAAAAATCTGGGCTCCGGTCTTTTCAGAAATTATATCCTTGAACGCACACTTCATCGGCCAGCTAGTGATTATTCGCTATACGCATTGTTCATAATCGAATTTAATAAAAGGTGACCTTCACAGATCCAAAGTGGGGTCAACAGTTCGAATAAAAGAATTGAGTGCAATCCAAATTAAAAACTCGAAAGGTCTGGATTCGAACCGTAGTCTGTCGGTTGAGTAGCCCTGGCCTAACCAATTAATATTATCTTTGTTTAAGCAACGGGCATATAATATGAACATGAGCTCTATGTTTCGTGTGTTTATACTGGTGTATTCCACAATTTGTAATATCCATTTTATTTTCTCTATATACTCAGGTTCTTCTGCTCCATTCCAACCAAGCTCTTCACTTCCGTCCACTAGTGGTGCTGCAGAGCAACAACAAGATAAGAAAGTGACCAACACCCCGCTTCTTACCATGAAGCAGGTATGTCATTTATTAATTCTTGGATTTTGCTATTTTAGGGCATCACATGGTTCAATGGGAGTCACAGTACCCATTGTTGTCAGAACTAGCCATACTTTCTTCTTCTTTTTGTCTCACTTATCTGTGTGTGTGAGAAATATTTTCGACACTAACTTATGTTAAATTAAATGAAAAGATTTGGAATTAGTACTGAGAGTCTGAGACCCACCGAGATAGAGTCAAGAATCAATATTTTGTGCAGGAATATGCAGACACATTGAGTTTCTGGGGTCGTCAAAAAAAAGGGCCATACCAAGTGGGTGATGTATATCATAATTAGGGGCATGACTTCATTGCAACTAGATAATGTGTTGTAAGTTGTTTACAATATCGCCAATTATTCAAACGTGCCATGCCACACACGACAAGATTATTTTAAAAATATTAGGTTATCCTCATTTGAGTTGTGCACCTCTGAACTAGAGTAGACTAATTGGTCGTGTGATTCTCAGTTCGTTTCAAACTCTTCCTACTAGTACCAGCAGTATCGTGTCAAACTTTTCTGCTGCTCGTGGGAGGTTTATAGTTATATTGCTGCTCCTTATACCTGGCTCCAAAAATAATTTGGTTCATAAATGTATTATAGATGTTGTTATACATGAGAATAATTAATTTCAAGTAGGAGTGAATCGTTTGTAATATTTTTATTTGGTACTCCTGTAGTATGTGAACGTAGTATGTGTATCATGTCAGGGTTGGCCAAGTGACTCTCGTAGCATTTGGACCTGAAATTATGGTCTAACCCTAACCTTGTTCACATACTACAGCTCGGTGTCTGCCATCTTGGTTCACATAATTAGGGTGTATCTTTTATTTTAATCATCAAACCAAGCAACAAAAACACTCCTATAAATAATGTGCTGCCCGGGGCGGTTGTCCCTTTGGCCCCCCTCTAGACACGCCTCTGAGTACCATCCATCGATATATTTCTTCCTAGGTTGGAATGATATGCGAGCGTTTATTGAAGGAACAAGAAGAAAAACTGAGATCTGAATACGAGAAAGTCCTTGTTCTTAAGCTGTCAGGTAAGAGCAAAGGGGATTTAAATTACTTGTATGTACCCGATTGAACTAAATCGAAAACCCGATTTATGGGCCGCACATCATTCAAATTTGGCCCACAATTTTTCCTCCTGGGCCCGCGGGCCGCAGGTTGCACAGCCCCAGTTTAGAGGAACAATGGTTTGGTCAATTTTCAATTATTACATCGTCAGATGTCAAGTCTATTCTGTACGATCAAATTTAAAAAATTAAATGGTATTAAATTCTCAAATGCAAATGTTATAAATTTGTAATATCTGCCGGGGCTCCAGAAGTATGTGAACCAAGATGGCGGACATCGGAATGTAATATGTGTACTAGGTTAGGGTTAGGCCATAATTTTAGGTATAAATACTACGGGAGGCTCTTGGCTAGTCTTCGAACTAATAATAGGACTAAAATAAGGAAAATTGGAAAAAATTTATCGCCTAACCCTAACCTGTTACCCATGTTACGTTCCGATGTCCGCCATCTTGGTTCGCATACTTCGGGAGCACCTATCTGCCTTCTGAGCGGGATGAAGATAACTCCTAAAACATTTGTATTGATTGTGTCCAGTGGTTGGATTCAGCCGGTTCGAACCGGTTCTATAGAACCGTCTCACAGAATTTTATGAGATTAGCGAACCGGTTAGCTTTACTGGTTACTGTCAATATTCTGTTTGTAACAGAACCGGCTGAAAAATATGATTTTTGTGAAGGAACCGACTGACAAAAAAATTTGAATTCCACCACTGGTTGTTTGTGATTGTATCCAAAAGTTTCATCAATCCAGGACGCTTTGCCCAAAAGTTATGTTCTCTCTGGAATATGTTCAGAAAATTTGGACGAGTAACGGCAAATCATTTCTAATATAAATCCGTAATGTATTTCTCTTATATTCATATTGTCAGATGTTCTTAGCGCAAATCGTAGCGTTGTACTTTGGACATTACTGAATGGCACCCCGTTGTTTTGCTTCGAGTAGTTTGGAACGGTGCCAAACGATTGAGTTGAATCCGTAATGTATGAATCCCACCACTGGTTGTGTCACTTATTCGCTTCAATATGTAAATCTCTGGTATTGTAGCGTATCCAGAGTAGGGCAGTCATGGTTTGTGCCTAATAAGAACCGGCTGAAAAATATGATTTTTGTGAAGGAACCGACTGATAAAAAATTTGAATTCCACCACTGGTTGTGTCACTTATTCGCTTCAATATGGGAATCTCTGGTATTGTAGCGTATCCAGAGTAGGGCAGTCATGGTTTGTGCCTAATAAGAACCGGCTGAAAAATATGATTTTTGTGAAGGAACCGACTGATAAAAAATTTGAATTCCACCACTGGTTGTGTCACTTATTCGCTTCAATATGGGAATCTCTGGTATTGTAGCGCAGGGGTGCACAACACGAGGCACGCGTGCCAAATTTGGCACGCCTTACGCTCAAACGTGGCACGCGAACCTTTTTGTAAAATAAAATATTTATGATATACATTAAAATATCACGTTTATATCAAATTCAGCATTTTTTATCAGGACATTAAATTGTTTTAATAAAAAGATATTCGTTATTATGTATTGTTATTGCAATTTGTTTGTTTTACGGGAGTTAATTTACAATACCATAATTGTGCGTGGCACCCGACAAGATTATTTCAAAAAAATTGGCTTGTATCCTCATTTGAGTAGTGCACCCCTGTTGTAGCGTATCCAGAGTAGGACAGTCATGGTTTGTGCCATGGACGTCGCTTAGATTTGGACGCAAAAAGATCGAAAAGTTTTAATTGTAAAATTTTTCTTCAATATTTCAGAACAATACGATGCATTTGTTAAATTCAACTATGACCAAGTACAAAGAAGATTGAACGAATGTCCTGCTAGCTGTGAGTATTAGTTTATTTCATAGGTTCTCAATGTGCCCAAAAAGAGAAACAAGGGTTTTGTGAGCTATTCATTTACGCAACCCAGCCTGCCAATTCATTCATGCCCTTTACCCTAGTTGGGTAAAAATACATATTGTTTTTGCTCATGTCCCCAAACTCGTAATCGAACTAAAATAATGGAAATCGGAATTAAATTATGGCTTGAAACCTAACCTGGTACACATACTATGGGAGCACCTTCTCTTGGTCCATTCGTCATCTAAACTTTGTCACAGAAATCTTACTCCCCAGGCAACATGTATGTTTATGATGACTACCCCACCTAGGTATCAATATATCAGTATTGGCCTGAAAGGCTTTAGTTTCTACAGAATAATTTAATCCACCAGTTTGTTACTTATCGATTTTAATCTGTAAGTATGTTGATAGGTATTTGTCTGTCTGTTAGATGCACCCGATATCTCACGGAAGCGAGATTGAATCTGCTCCAGATTTTGCATGTGCATTCATCATATGTCGGACCATATGTCGGATGAATTATGTCGTATAATGACCATATGTCGGATGAATTATGTCGTATAATTAGCGAGTTATTAATTAATTAGTGATCAAGTGATCTAGATTTTTGTAAAGCGAGAGAATTTTGAAATCCGCCGAGTGTGTGTGTGCGATGCGCAGTGCGCAAGTTACAAGAGCGGATGAATCGAAACCTCAGTTTCTGTTTCGGGGGATCCCCTAACTCTCGATCGATGGGTCTTCGGTTTCCAACCGATATTCTCGTTTATAGTTTTACCCTGAATTATTGAAAAATTTTCTGTCCAAGTCACACTTCACTAGAGAAAATTTATTTTCCTATTTTCAGATGTTTCCTGAATCCAAAGAAGTGAACTGCCAAGAAAAGTGATAATAGACATTGTTGAATCATAATGCCATGAATGTTTGTAAATAAATAGGATTTTTAACAAGAACTTTTGCTGCTTTATGATGCTATAGGTAGCATTTTGTGATGTCATAAATGTGTCAAATATGGCTATACACCATGGATGAATATGATGCCATAAATGTCACACGATTATTGGTGATATTATATTACTTGAGCATTGTGATGTAACAACACCATTGTTGACATCATATATGTGCCTATTATGACATCAAACGCTATTGCATGTTTATAGCCAATCCGGTGTTTACTGTTTTATTCCTTTCCCTCAAGTTTTTTGCCTTGTTTTGTTTTTCTTTGAAGTGAAACTCCTTTCTTATGTCTTCTCTTTCTTTATAGTAATTCGCTTCTTGGCTTAATAGCCTTGCGGTTGAAGCAATAGACTCAAGTGTCTCGGCATTGCAGATTACATATGAAAGACATTCAAGAAGTATGTGAACCAAGATGGCGGACACCGGAACGTAGTATGTTAACAGGTTGAGGTTAGGCCATGATTTCAGGTACAAATACTACGGAAGTAACTTGGCTAGTCCACGAACTCGTAATAGAACTAAAAAAAAATTGGAATAAATTATGGCTTAACCATACACGTACACATACTACGTTCCGGTGTCTGCCATCTTGGTTCACATACTTCAGGGAGTACCAGTTGAAATCCCGCTCCCACCATTAAGTTTGTTAAACCAGAAAGATCCCAAAAACAGTAGCCAGTCACCCACCGTTAGATATTGGTGGCTTATACTTTTATAGGGGCTCCCGAAGTATGCGAACCAAGATGGCGGACATCGGAATGTAATATGTGTACTAGGTTGAGGTTAGGCCATAATTTTAGGTATAAATACTACGAGAGGCTCTTGGCTAGTCTTCGAACTGATAATAGGACTAAAATAAGGAAAATTGGAAAAAAATTATCGTCTAACCCTAACCTGTTACCCATGTTACGTTCCGATGTCCGCCATCTTGGTTCGCATACTTCGGGAGCACCCTTTTATATACCTTGTTTCCCCGAAAATAAGACCTAGCGAGATTTATTTTGACCAAGCCGATAGCAAGAAATCTCTCCTACACGTTAATAAATGATTGATAATCTGTTTTGAATAAAAACGTGTTATTTATAAGTAAATGGATATCGGTTTTCACATTTTGTATATTTGAAAATCTCGTAATTTTCGACTTTTTCAATTTTGTTTTTGATGAATAAAAATATAAGACATCCCCCGAAAATAAGGTATTTTTTAGAAGAAAATTGAAATAAGACCCAGTCTTATTTTCGAGGAAACACTGTATACTCATACTTTTTCTGGCCATAGGGGAAAAAAATATTTTGGTAATATCGCGTAGAAGTGTTTTTATGTTGACTTTTTAGTTGTGAGGCAAATTGACTAGGATATTGATAATGATTTCGATCTTACCAAATTTTGCATTATATCATAAAACTGGAGTAACTGTGCTCCATACTCCATATCATACCTGAGTTGAAGTTTAAGTTAATTTTCTCAATAAAAGGAAAGAAGTATTGTTTTATACCTCTTACATTTAAGTTGTGTTGCAAGGAGTCCCTCATGTTTGAGCCTGTGCTTCTCACATTTGTTGAGCCTGCCCACACATATCCCAGTGCTAGTCTTTTGCCTCTAGTGTAAGCCCAACACCCAGCAGATTCCTTCTACTGTTATAGTCTTACCCATTTTTTGTCCAACAATCGACATCCATTTTGTGTCCCAGTTATCTTTCAAATCAGGTGTAAAGCCGAGACCCACAGATTACTACTCTTTTGTTCTCACCCATTTTTAGTCTGAATTTGTCCAAACATCTACATCCATTTTGCGTCCCAGTTATCTTTCACCTCTGGTATAAAGTTATAAACCCGAGTCTCACAGATTGCTACTGCTATAATGTTATCATTCATTTTTAGTCTAAATTTGTCCAAACATCGACATCCATTTTGTGTCCTGGATGTCTTTCACCTCTAGTATGAACCAAGACTCAGAGATTCCTGCTACTCTTATGTTCTCACCCATTTTTAGTCTAAATTTGTCCCAACATCGGCATCCATTGTATGTCCCAATGGCCTGTCACCTCTGGTATAAACCCGAGACCCACAGATTACTACTAGTATTATGTTCCCACCCATTTATAGTCTAAATTTGTCCAAACGCCGACATCCATTTTGTGTCCTATTATGTTTTTGCTTATTGTAAAGCAAGTTATTTGATTAATATTTAATTTGAATATTCTTGGCCAAGACTTCGACCCAGTATTATCACTTGGAATCCTGTACTGATACATTAGTGAAGATTTTTTAAATTAGTATGGAAAAAAAGGGGCAAGTGGGGTTATACCCAGTGCCTTGTAGCAATGTTGGGTGTGATTCCTTAGCCCCAGGTCATCGTCATGGTCTCTAGTACAGTGGTTCTCTAAACTTTTTAAGAACCCCTTTTATAATTCGACTCACGTCCACCTCAAAAATAACTAGCTAATAATAAACTCAAATAACAGATAGTAAGACAAAAGTATGTTTAATCAACTCCAAAACAGGTTGAAAATACCTTGATGAAACGTAAATATCCAAAATAAGGCAAACAAGATCGAATCTAACACATGATTTAATCTTTAATTAGCTTTAAGCTCTTTTTAAGTTTGAGAACCACTCCTCTAGTCAAATCTTCCACTAAGTTTAGTCTCACTGGCATTTAGTTGTTAACTAGTCACTTGATTGTGACTCCAGTCTGATCTATGGCTCTACCATCCCCGGCCACGCTACATAGCAGGGCTGCTCAACTTTTTTTACCGATGCTTCGCGATTATTTGGGTCCGGTGTTTCCAGAAGTTATGAAATTATATTTCGGCATCCATAAACGCGCACTTCCTCGAGCGGCTAATGATTCTCAGCTAATCAAGATTGTTTATTATGGTGTTATAGTTCTTTTCATATATATTCAAAACAATAAAAGTCATTTTATAAAATGAAACTTAAAAAGTGGGGCTAATGAACCAAAATAAAGAATTAGGTGCGGTCCGAGTCGAACACTGGAAAGGTTCGGACCGCGGTCTGCCAGTTGAGTAGCCCTTTTATATAGTATCACTTGCTATTGTTTTTATTTAACTATTGAAGGCTTTATTCTATGAATAATAATAATAGATAATGATAAATTTGTCAAAACCATTTCAAGCTTTGTATATCGCCTCATCACGATTTTTTGTTCTGCTTTTTTTCTTCCCATATCAGGTTAAAATAGTGGTTCCCAACATTTTATTGATTGTGACCCTCTTCTGGAGGGTGCCCCCCCCCCCCCCCCCCCCCTGTTTATCATCCCAGTGGTATTCCTAGTATTATTTTGATTGGTAGATTCCGATTGTGTTCGAATAATTCCAAAGTGAAAATAATCTGTGAAATAACCTTGGGGCAATGAAACTAGAAAAAACATGGTGTTTTTTTTTAGTAAAAGTAAAATCACTTTTGCGTTTAGCATTGTGGCCCCTCTAACTGTTTTGTGGGCCCCCGGGCCCCAAGTTGGGAACCACTGGATTAGAATAACTTGCTCATTGCTCCACCTTTTAACGTAACCAAGATGGAAGAAATCAAAAGAACAGACCTGAAAACCCAGCTATGACACCTTTTTACTAGGGCTGGGCATTTTGATTCGAATTAAATAGTAAATTTTTCGAATCAATTCAACGAAAATTTCGAATTGCCGCTATTTTGTCCTTTTTTTTGTGCCAAAGGTCTGCTGCGAATCCCTCAATTTTGTATTGAATTTTTTTCAAATGCGATTCTGACACATGGCTTTTTCTTTCGAGTGAGGTTATTGATGAAGCATGTTTCTCAATGTGTGTGAACACTAAGCGATCAGTCTGAGTGATGGTTTCTATGTTTTCAGTAATCCATCCATCACAATAAAAAGTCTCATACAATTACATATCTTCGAGTAAGTATTCAAGATTCGATTAAAAAATATATTAAATTCGATAATCACCATGTATTTGAAACGCCCAGCCCTACTTATTTCCCATACTCTTTTATTCTGCAATGTAGACCATGTCAAGTAATATGTGGATTCATTCTCAATTCCTAACACGACCGTGTATGCTAGCCATAATACACTGAGGCTAACAGAAACAACAAGCGGCCAGCGGAACATACTTGTACCTTTTCTCTCACTGGTCCAGTTGATTATCGGTTTTTAGCCTTGAAATATAATAATTTCTACCATAGAAAAGCCCATTACTATATTTGCCAGAGTAAAATGATGCTTGGCCTGAACTAAAGCATAAACAACTTGGCGTATACACCTTTAGTTTCTACCTTTTCATTACCGCTCTCCAATATACAGGGTGTCCATTAAGTCCTTTGACAATTTCAATTTTGTTATGAAGTCAGTTTTCGATATATCTTATTATCCAGATTTGTTGATTTTAGGTATTTTACCTCTTTTAATACATCAAAACAACATATGTTATCGATAAATTCCCCTTTGAAATTTAAAAAAAATTAAGACTTTGTGGACACCCTATATGTATTGCCCTTGTTAAAATATTTGTACTGGTCCCATCATCAATAGTTATTATCTGATTCAAGGCTGTTTTGATGTAAAGTAACCCACCCAGCCGTATGTGGCATTTTTTTTTCGTCGTCTGCTATATTTTGCCCCGGATTAAAGTGTGTATGGTTATTTTCGATTTATTTTGCACCTGGATCAGTCTCGTTATGAAAGATTTAATCCTCTTTTCTCTCTCCAAGTTGTTAATATTGTTCTTTTACGAGTGACGATAAGCTTTTAGTGTTAAAGAAGTGAATTTACTTTTGTTTGTGGGAATGGGTGGATTAGAAAGTGGATAAAACGGCTAATTTCAAGTGAATGGTCGTGTGCGTGAATAGGTATTGTATGTCTCTATTAATTACATGTATATGAATGTAATTTAGTCAAATTCGCCAATTGCACGCCAATTGAAGCACTGACCTTACATAGAGAGAATCGACGTATCTTTTTTGCGCGCCCGTATGTCTTATTTCGCCCGAGTAAAAAGTACTGGTCTACTTTGAAGAAGCGTTTAGCTTCTTAAACGATATTAGGTTAGGGTTACCATATATGAAAAAGTAAGTTCCGGACAGTGCATCAGTATTTTCGGCGCTCCCGAAGTGGCGCACAACCTGAACCCTAACCTGGTACACATACTATGTTCAGGTTGTGCGCCATCCTGGTGCACAAACGCTGTACGATACTCATTCTAAAGCGCCAACTTCAGTCATAAGCAGAATCTCACACCAGGTGAGTAAGCACTGTCTAACTATAGCTCTAAATAAATCTCCACTTCAGAGTGAAAAATAATAATGAGAATTAGGTTGTGCCGAGAAGGAAAAACGGCAATTGCATGCTTAAAGCAAATTACAGACACGCT